CCCGTTTTTGAAAAGTTTGGATTAGAAGTCTTGTGCAAAATATCATCGCGCAATCAACATATTTTGCAATTATTGTTCACAGGTCACCCGACGGGTGACCCACCCGTTTCCACCTGGGTGGCAAAAACTCCACCCGGGTCATCCGTTTACCTGCGGGTGACCCAGATGGTACCTACCCGGGTCCAATCACTAACTTTCTTTTTCTTTTTTCAGCATTATATAAAGTAAATATTCCTTTCTCCTTTATAACTTATTTTTTACTGATATCATTTCTACACATAAAATTTTTTTTCACACAAACCTTTTCATTTCTACCTATTATCTTTTTTTTTTCTTTTTTTTGTATTTACGTAAAGTAGATATTCTTTTCTTACTTACAACTTTTTTTTTTGCATTTTCTATTATTTTTTTTCTTTGATCTTTTACCAACATCTTCAACATAGATAATAACTTCTTTTAACATTCATGTTTTTTTTTTATACCTATTTGAAAGAATATAGGGGTATCAGATTTTCTAATCTTTCTCTCTTAATATAGGTAAATATCTCTTTCAATATTCGCTTTGCTCTTTTTGAATTCTTAGAAAATATCAAAATATCTGGTTTTTAGCTTGGCAGCATTTCCAATACAGATATTTTTTTAAAAAAATAGAAGATGTCTTGGTTATATAATATATATTTATATTAGTTTTTTTTTTTTAGTTTTGGAATTTTAGAATTATTTTTGGACCTTTTTTTTGTCTGATATCTATAATATGATATGCAAATCAACTTTCTTTCATTTTAAACCTTCTTTAAGATCGCAATTACATACAATAGATTCAAAGAAAAGGTATCATTCTTCTTTCCTGGCATCTTTATCTTCTTCTGATTATGCTCATCAATCTCACATCTATTGATCTTGTACCTATTGATCTTGCACTCGTTAACTTCATTCCTGTTGTTCTCATTCTCATTCTCATTCTTGTTCTTATTCATACTCACACCAAACTTCATGTAATCATGGTAGATCAGTAGAAGGTATATTATATTATATATTTTGTGATAACTAGTAATATCTATAATATCCTATAACTAATATAATGTTTAGATAATAGAAAGAAATATAGAAAACTATATGATAGAAGCACTTTGGAAGAAGGTTAAGTAATTTATTTATATTAATTTTTTTTTGTATAATACAAATATTAGCTAATAAAAATAAGATTATAGAAAATTTAGCTTTGAGGTCTCAAGTATCTTGACTTAAACAAAGAATGATTTGACTTGAAAGGGTACATTCAAACACCTCAGCAAACTTATAATATTTATAGTTATCTGCTGTTGCAGACAATCTAGAAGATTTTAGTATTGATGATAATGTTGTTTGAAAAAAGTTATTTTTATCTAAAAAATCCTGTGATCCAAATCAAACAAGGTTCAGGAAAGGACAATTAATTTCAATGGATCTGGAATATAAAGCAGCCTTTAGGGTATATATTTATTGTTGTTTTTAGATTAGTTTGATAATAAATTCTGTAAATCCTATATATCTGCATGTTATTGTTTTGACAATTGTAATATGCAAGTATATAGAATTTACTGAATTCATTTATCATACTAATATATTTATTGCTTTGTTTATAATACTAACAATAGGAATATCAGATTGTATTATATTACAATTATAAAAAAAAGTGCTCCAGGCTGCAAAACAATTGGCAAATGATAGCCCTTGGTTAAAAATAGATGAAAAAAAGGATACTGTGAACAAAAAAATTTCATTGAACTTACTATTCTTCTTGCTATCAAGAAAAATATTAATAAAAGCCTTGAATATCTTGATAAAGAAGTTATTTGAGTGCTTCAAAGCAACTATAAGAGCATTTTGACAACCACAAAAATTAAATCAAATGAAGAAAGGTTGAAAGCAAATAAGAGATGGACTAGAAAAAACTCTCGTATACAATATATAAATTTTTTATTTTTATTTATTTTTTTTTTACTGTATAAATTATGATTTCATATATGCCTACTTGTGTTCTTGTATTTTACTTCTTAGAAAAAGAAAAGAAAAATAGATAGATTGCAATATATAGTTCAAATTAAAGACCCTGCTATTGAAAAGTATCACCCAAGCTCTGTTAGCAAAAAGGCTTAGAAGCAAGACCTTGCCAAAGTAGTCATTGAAACGGCTTATCACTATCCAAAATAGATATAAAACTAGTAACAAAGGAACTTAATGATAATAAATATCCACATAAAGAAGAATGTGAAGGAAAATAACAATTATGTAATTAAGGTTTACACTCTGTCATGGAGATCAAAAGGAGTAATTTTTATATTTTATTTTGTATAATACTCATATTAGACTAATTCTTTTTTTTATATTTTATTTTGAATTTCTTTTTTATAATATTCATATCAGACTAATTCTTTTTTTTATATTTTATTTTGAATTTATTTCTTTTTTATAATACTCATATCAACTAATTCTTTTTTTTATATTTTATTTTTGATTTATTTTTTTTTTATAAAACTTGTATTAGACTAATTTTACATTATTTTTAAATAGTGCAAAAAGATTTTTTATAAGGCTGAAGACATAGCATTAACAAACCAATTCAATAAAATAGGGAGGTATCGACATCGTGATGATAGTTAGAAGAATGATACCAAACCATTACTTAATACTCCTCATTGGACAATTTCTTCAATTTATGACTATAATAATAATAACAGATATTTATTGCAGTTTAATAGTAACAATTCGGCAACAAATGAAATTAACAATCCCAATTCAGATGATTTAGTGTCTTCAGATGGTTTGGTGTCTATAGATGGTTTGGTGTCTATGGATGGCTTGGTGTCTACCGGTAACGAATATATTAAATCTGATAGCAATAATAATTCTGGGTATAATAGTAATAATACTGAGTTAGTGTAAGTATTTAAAAGCACACTTAAAATGTTTAAAATAATTATAAATTTTATTAATTTGCCATTTTTAGATCCAATAATACTAATGTTTTTGGTACTCAAAGAACTGAACAACTGTATGTATTTAAAGTATACTTATAAGATTTGTAATATATTTATTAATTTTTATTATTCTAGAACCAATAACCCTGAAATAAACAATTCTAGGTCCAATTCTATATCTAACTCTATGTTTAACTCTATACCTGATTCTACATCTAACTCTATGCATGATTTTATATCTAACTCTGCTATGTCTAATTTTATTCTTAATATATCTAACTCTATATCGAAAAGTACTTTCAAAAAAAATAAAAGCAAAACTTCTAAAAGCTCTACTAAAGGTTCTACCTCTTCAAAAGGTTCTTCTAAAAGCTCTTCTAAAGGTTCTTCCAAAGAATCTTCTAGAAAAAAAGATCATCTGAATGTTCTTACTAGTAAATTCAAGTATATCAGTGATGAAGGTAAAGATGAAGATTATGTTGAGCAATAAGACAAAAAAATATGATTTTTAGTAATTGCATGTAATTAGTATGAGCATAAATTTTAAATATGCTATGTAATTAGTATAAGTATAAATTTGTAATGCAAATACAAATCAAATATAAATATATCTTATAAAATATAGATATAATAAAATATAAAGCAATATCATCTAGCAGAAATTCTGTAAAAATTTATATATATAAGTATATATGAGGAATAAATCAATTAAAATTTTGTAAATATTGTTAAATATAATAAAGTAAAATGTGATATTGGCTTGCAGATACCCAAGTTAAATTATCAAAAAATTATATAAACTTTAAATATCTAAGCAAAAATCTATATATTTTAAGCAAAAACCTATATATATAAGTATATATATTACATAAATCGCTTAAATTTTGTAAGTATTGTTGAGTAAAAAATAAGATATTAGCTAGCAAATATCTAAGCTAAACTATCAAAAATCTATAGAAAACTTCAATATGCAATATCTGCTAGCTAATACCCAAAATTAATATAAAAACTTAAACTGAAATAAATATAAAATAGCTAAAACTTATATAAATATATATCCCTTAAATTGTAACACAGGCAAATTTGCCTGTGTTTTTATTAAAAAGTTTAATTTTTTTAATA